GTCAGCGAGTTACCACCTATTTTCCGGACTATGCATCCCTGGCCGATTCAATTCAGTGAAAGTCATCAGAGTAAACTCGGGTAATGACAAAAAATGTACATAGGTAATTGTGTTGTGTTGTGCTATATTGGCTCATGCGGTTTTGCATGTACATAAACATACATTGTAGATATAAAGAATATTTTTTGAAATAAATATATGATTTGCATTTTTGTAGTAGGTAGATCATTTTGACTTGATCCTTTTATAAGTAGCTCGCATGCTGAAAAAGTGTGAGCACCCCTGCCTTAAGTGATCCTTTTGCTTTGCTAATAATTATATAAATTGTAATAAAGAGAAATGTAAAATTTCTAAACAGTTTAGACTGTGTAAAGTTTTGACTGTGAATTTTATTGAAAAGACTATCTGGTAAACCTTTTGGCTCAGATATGATAAATCAGAAGCATTCACAACAAATGCCTATATTTTTGGCAAGGGAACGAAGGGACAGGCTGTAGATCCGTGACTGAGGCTGTAGGTCCAGGACTGATGAGGCTCCCAGGCAGGGACGCGGTGCTGTGAGTTCAGTTTAATCTGCTTGTACTAAGGTCAAAACACAAATAACATGTTCAAAAACATGTTTGAGGAAAATGACTGTTTTATGAGCCAAGATCCAGCAAAAACTTCTTAGCAACGATTGTCATCACAAAAAGGAAGACATACAGGCACACGCACAGGAGGAGAAATTGCAAAGTTCTCCTAACTTATTTTTAACATCTTGTGATGCAACAGACCTTTAAAAAGTAACTTTATCATGCATACCAAGTTATCTGTTTGAGCTCAATTTATGTGTTGCTGTGGTGACTGCTCAGGCGGATGAATACAGAGCCTGTAATCTAACATGAGGTTTAAATAGTAATCTTTTTAGTAATCTTTATTTATATACCGCCTTTTTCACTGCAGATCTGAGTCTCAAAGCGGTTTACAATTGTTAATTTTTGGGCATTTTGTTTCTTACTCCACACAGAGATGAGAGCAGAGTCGCCAGTACAGGAGGCGCATGCTAGAACTATTGGACATATTTTTAGTGGTAGGGGAAACCGGAGTACCCGGAGGAAACCTACGCAGACACGGGGAGAACATGCAAACTCCACTCAGAAAGGCCCTGGTCCGACCGGGATTCGAACCCAGGACCTTCTTGCTGAGAGGCGAGAGTGCTATCCACTCAGCCACCGTGCCGCGTTTAAACTGTATTAATCAACAGTAGTCTTTTATACTAGCTGTATGTCTCATAAATGCATAGACGAGGAAGAGAAACGGTGCAGTTGTTGTTATAAGAGCTGGAGAATAGTGTGAATTCTTGGCACTTATGTCTGGGTGGTGGGAGGACTTAAACGCTGCTAAAAGCTTTCCATTAGAGCCTGAAACACCAGCTACAAACACAGAGCCAGAACTGCCCTTCAAAAACTCTGCCCACCGCCAACAATGGAACGCAGATACCACAGAGCGTGTCGTTTTCCTGCAAATGATCGGACTAATTGCTTTTCCCGTTGTATGAATTTCTCTGTTTATGTACTGTTCATAATACTGAGCTCATATAGTCTTTTACACTGTGGAATATCTTTCTACCCAGCCAACCTTGCGGAGTTGTGATGTACAGATGGTCAGAGAGTGAACTGAATAGTAATGTCTTTGAGGGGAAAAATGTCTTAGAAGGAGAAAAACAGATGGCGGTTTTCACATTGTTTGAAAAGAGTCTCTTGTCGGGATGCATAATATATCAAAAACCTATTTTTATTGTATAGATTACAATAAGTATAATAAGTACAAGCGCAATGTTGATATTGTTTTAAGTATGTTTGGAAATGTGAGACGGGCTTCTTCACTGTTTCGTTTCACAGGTGCTACTGATATTGTTGCTTTCACTGTGCCTTCACAAGTTTGACGAAGCAATCATTGAGGACCACAGTTATGTAAAAGAACAACCCCAACAACAATATTAAAAAATAATTATGCAAAAGTCCTGCGTCAGAACGGCAAACTGTCATCATTGCAAGCCACGTACACCGAAAGGCAGCGTTAACACAACAGGTGGCACTTTGCAGTAGTTTATACGCAACAGACTCACACGTGAACAATACTTAACTTTCTTCACTCCAACAGTAACTTTCTTCAAACTGACAATAATGAGAACGAGGCAGAATCTGCAACACAGTCTTGGGATGTTCTGACCCGAACCGAGCGCAGTCCAACTACTGTCGCAAGTTTGAACTAAACTTATTCAGGGACAAGCCTCAAATAAAACACGCAGAATCTCCACAAAACAATTGCCAGAATACTTCATCACCAGCGTGAGTGAATGTTCTGTTTTCTTACCGTGATGCAGATGGGGCCGAGGACCATAGACACCCGGATAGAACCATGCACGCGCGGACCATAGACGCGCGGACAGGACCAGACGCGCAGACAGGACCAGACGCGCAGACAGGACCAGACGCGCAGACAGGACCAGACGCGCAGACAGGACCAGACGCGCAGACAGGACCAGACGCGCAGACAGGACCAGACGCGCAGACAGGACCAGACGCGCAGACAGGACCAGACGCGCAGACAGGACGTTCGGACAGAACCATTGAAATGCGTTCAGGACCATCCCCAGCTTGTTGAAAGTGCAGGTCTCCCACGTGTTTCCTACCTAGCTTTAAAACTCACGAAATTAAAGCTTGGTTACCTAAATCTCCCCTTGTATTAAAAATTCATGTTGGTTTTACGCGAAAGTAAAATGTTGAATGTGAGGGTTCTTTTTACAGAACACATGGCTAGGTCGGAAAGGGCGTTTTCAGAAGTTTTTAATTAAAAACTCTCAGAAAAAACAGTGGGAAATTACAAAACACGTATTTACAGAGCACAGTGAAAAGTCTTCAGGCGAAAAGGATATTTACAAATAAAAATATTACAAATTAAATATTATAATTACCTTCACTGTAACCGAGTCACCACTGCCATGGGGCAGACAAGCACACCTTTTGTACCCTGCCGGCCCCTCCCACATTACAAAACCAATCATCCTAATAACCAACCATATCTACAATACATGGCGCTTTCCTTAGGTTCATGATTTCACATTACAATTCTACATTGACACATATACAATGAAATAAATTATGAGCACACTACGAAGAGTCCAAATGAGCTGTGGTCCACATAACCCAGACAGGTGCACTTAAGCGCCTGGCTCCTTATGTCCGGATTTGCCAAAACGCACCATGGAGATGCCACGACCTCGCCAGCACACAGGCGAGTGAATGACACATGTAACAGATTTAACACACCATGCAACGCTTCCAAGTGTGCACCCTGAAGACGCGTTCACGCACGCTACATGTCACAAACACAGTCCCTATACTAGCAGTAGTCAATGAATGGGCTTGGCCGTTGCGCGCAGCCACCATGGCACCGGCGCGCGCATCTTCACATGCGCTCCGTGGGACAGCGTGCTCAGGGACGGGCTCACCCCGTCACATTGAACATATCAAACAAAACACACCACAACAGGCGTCTAGTTTTTTATTTTGCATTCTTAAGTGAGTCATTATTTGACTTTTCAGGCTGAGAGTGGATTTTTTTTCCCACACAGTTAGTGCCACTTTATTGCCAATCTCTTGTTCACTCATTGTGTTGATAAATATTTGGGCAAGTCACCTTTGACATTGGGCAGGTAAAATATACATATATTATAATTATATATATATATATATATATATATATATATATATATATATATATATATATATATATATTATATTATATTTACTATAATTATATTTACTATTATTACTATTATTACATGACTACCTTCGTTGGGGGATTTTACCTATGGTACATGTTATCATGAAAATGTAATTGTTGCTGTACTGTACATACTAGGCCCAAACCAATACAAATAAAAGAGGACATTTAATGACACTGCATTATAACAAGACACATACAGACATAACAGAAAATATCATACCCCAAGGAGAGATGGTTGGAGAGAGAGAGAGAATCCCAGAAGGCTCTGGGCCTCAGTATTAGGCCTACATGTTGCATAGAGAGTTGACACAGACCAAGAGCCCAAACTAGTCCATTCCAGCTCTCTATATACTGGCTGTGAGGTCACTGTCAGGTTCTACTGGATTGGTCCAGGGGGTCAGCCAGGAGAAGGCTCCCCATGGAGGGGGGACATGGACATCATCAGATAAGGGGGGAAATCCATACCATCAGTACATGTTTTGTGTGGTGGGGGAAACCGGAGCACCTGAATGAAACCCACTCAGACCCAGTGATGACCGTGCACATACATTTAACCTACATAAAAATATACAAAGAAATTTAAGATTTTTGATGTTGCTTTTATCACTGTGAATGTGAAATTAATCTGAAAGTAACAACTCACTAATCAAATCACTTAGATCTGTAAAGATGAATATTCCTTGATAGAACATTACTCTTTCTATGAATGTGTTTTGAAAGTCTGTGAACAGTTTGTAAACAGCTCTTTTGAACTGTTTTGTTTGAGGCTCTTTCTCTTATCTTTAGTTCTGCCTGAGCTCGCCCTGAGCTCCTTCACCTGTGTGACAGCGCACTCAGAGCTGCAGGGCTCATTAGTGGTTGGAGTAAAGACGCTTCTGAAATCTCAGTTTTGTGCTCCTTTCTTGGTGTCTGCCTCCTGCTTAGGCCTAATCACTGGAAATGAGCTGCTCTCCTGATGTCTCATCATCACTCACAATCACATCTGCTGAAGAAAATCACTTTTTCTGAACTCCTGTAAACATAACTTCTGTTTATTTATCTGCCTGCGCAGCTATACATATGCCAATGTTTAGACTACTGTGCTTTGAAGAAGTATTAATAACCCACATTTTTGAATTATGATGCATTGCAATAAATGAAAAAAAAAATCATTTTCTTTTCATTTGTCTTATTTTGGTGTTTGAACATTCAAATGTCGATAGTCTGAGACATTTGCTTTCTTGTTACAGGGAGTATAAAGGGCGCAACAATAGTGGATGCCTTGGATACGCTCTACATCATGGAGATGTTTGAAGATTTTGAGGTGGCCGCTGACTGGGTGGAGAAGAACCTAGACTTCAACATGGTAAGGATTTTCACCTTTTTAATTTTCAAAACACATGTATTACTATTAGTTTATTTTGAATAGGAACAGTACACTTTATTCAACGTGTCTGTAAATGTGCCAGTATTAGTTCTGCAGGCAGGTTCCAATCGTAGTCCTGAGGCAAGGCAAGGTGTAAAATACATGTAGAACAGGACTTCTCTGAAAAAGGGATTCTGAAATCTCAATCAGAGCTGAGATGTCCCTGGTCCAGGTCCTGCTCCCCGGGAAAATCACCCGAATTACAGGAATGACCCCATGAGCATTTTGGCACTCATAGGAGCCACTGCTTCTCACAACTTTCTCTTCCTCGTGACATTTAAGGACGGGTCAAATGAAGAGGACAAATTTCTCTATGGGGACAATAATGTATAAACAGCCATTTAATTCTATGAAGAAGACTAGATGAATCTTCCTAAACTACAACAATGCATACTTTAACCTTTACCTTACTGTAAAAGCTAACTCTCCAGTTCTCTTGAGTCCAAAGCTGACTATGTAATTACATCTCAGGGACACATATGAGAAGCATTGTTTCTGTCACTTTGCTTTTAAAAAGCTTTCACTCCACCTCTCCCCAAACAACAGAGGTACGGCTCGTTACAGCTCTGAGGATTTCCTCAAAGCTCTCTACCAAGGACATACGCTGCACACAGCACTCACCGGGCCTGTAAAAGTCGGATTATGAGCTTGTCAAGTGGAGAGAATGAGTATTTACAACGGCCACAATGCCACTTTTGTAGATTAAAACTTGAAGGTTTTGGCTGGAAACTTTTGAGTGCCGTATCAAGTATGAGAGAGTCTTTAATAAGTTGAAGTTTGTCCTCGAGATTGGAGTTCCACAGTTGTGCATTTGTGTGAATTAATAAAAGTGTACTGTCATTCCAACCCTGACACATTGTAATAACCAGATACTTGGATCAAGCTTTAGAAGACTTATACCCGTTGTTGATAAACTCTCCTCTCTTTCTAACTGTCCTGGTGTCGACCCCTCAAATGAATATTCAGATCTGTCAGTCAAACTCAAAGCCTCACATCACCCTCTCCACAACAGGGGATATGACTTTCTTACATAAAATTTCTCTTGTTTACATTTAGACTCCAGCCTTGTCATTGCTTTAGCTTTCTTTAAGTTCATCCACTGGTGATTTGTTCTGACAAACTCTGCCTGAGAGAACGCACAAACCAAACGCCACACAGTATTATTTTTCTTGCAGTTTGTCCCAAAATGATGTTTCAAAGCTGCAGCTCCTCTTCAAGGACACAGCGAGATGTAGTCATCTCTTTAGAAGCAAAGTCATGTGACGTGTGTTTCTTTTTTCTTCATGAGTCATTTGTTGTAAGGCTCAGAGCTGTTAAAGCAGTGAGATTGTCTTTACTGTCACTCGGGCAACGTGCCAAATGTAGCTGCTCTTTGACTCTTCTCATCTCTAGTTTTACATTTTTGGACCAGTCAGTCTTGAGTGATTCAAGTTGCTTTACAGAACAATAAAAAATATGTATATATATTGGGAGATAGAGATAGAGAATCAAACTGTGCAAACACAGGAAATGCAATAATGACAAACACATATAAGCCACTGGTCCATGGAGAACAGATGACTAATGTCCAAAAATGTCCATTAATGTCTATACTTTTCCTTAAATATCCCGGATCATCAATGTCCTTAGACCCTCCTGCATCAACAAGGAACAACTAAAAATAAGCCATTCAAGGAACTCATGCAACACTCCCTGCTAAAATTAGGGTTGCGATTTTATTTCCTGTATCATGGAATATAATGGGAAATGCCCATTGTTCCCCGACTAGCCAGGATGCATACTGTACTTTGCGACAGTACTTTGCTTTTGGCCCAATGGAAAACAATGGCCTCCCTGCTGAGACCAAGCAGCTTGAGTGACAGGGCATCCGCTGGCACTCGCATACAAATAAGGCCAGATTATACGCAGAAAGCAGCAGGAAATGTATGCATGAAATAACAGGTTGAAAAGAGCGAGAGTGGGAGGATCGGGAGCGGGTGTTGACGGTATTAGGGGGTTACATGGCGAATTGGTGAACACATATTTGGAGCCAGGCCCTGTCTTAGATCTGTAAACATAGCCATATTTGTATTCAGAAGAGAATCCCGTGTCTTTCTAATGAGCAGCTTGAAGCATAATTAGGCTGGTTCTACAATGCGGGGAGACTTCAAAGGGGGGAGAAAGCCATCCATGTACTTGTTTTTTGTTCTGGCCTACCAGTAATAAGAGTGGTTGGAAGATGTTGGATTTAAGTGGAGCTTTTGATTGATGATATTGGTGCAAAATGGAGATCAAAGATGAATTTGTTTTGGTCATTTTAAGTGAAGCGCATCGTTTAAGTATAATCCTGGTGTACAAGTAGAGAGAAGACAACACATGCCTATCAAATTAGTTTGCAAGACTAAAGCAAATGGGTGTTTTGAAGTGTGTGTGTGGGTGTCTTAAAGTAAGCAGGGGTCGAAGTTTGTTTTGCAAAGAAGTTCAGGTTGAGGTGAATTTCATATACGATATGTGAATAAAAATAAGGTGTAAGTCAACATATCACTGAGATACATGAACTGAAACTGCAGATTTCCAGACAAATTAAATGGGTCCTTCTCAGTTGCTGGTCCCAGACTCTTGAACAAGCTTCCCCATGATATGTGTCACTGATTTTGGCCTTTTTAAATGGAGGCTCAAAAGTTTTTTTCAGACTTAACACTCTTAACACTCATCAGCGCGCTGGCACTTTTAATTTTAATTTTTTAATTTTTAACTTTTTTATTGCATGAATGTTTCAATGGATTTGATGTGATTTTATTGTGAAGCGCTTTGGTCGCCTTGTGTGTTGTAAAGGGCTCTATAAATAAAAAAATGATTGATAGATTGAAGAACTATCAGGCTGACAAAACCAAATCAATGAATGGATAGAGCTTTTGGTGACAAACAACAAGAACAGCTGTGTCATCACCCTAAACTGTAGAGCCCGCAAAAAAACCCTGTGTTCAAGATTTTTTTTTAAAATATGTTTGAATGTTATTTGGGTTTGTGTAGCCATGGCCTGCGTCACTCTAATGAATTGTGCACAAAAGCATATGAGGTCAAAGTGACATGTTATCGTTGCAAAAATAAGTTAATTTGAGAACGAGACCTTCTTATTTGTGGATTCCACTTGTATCATTTGTTTTGTACTGGTACTAAAACAACTTTCCTCGACCCAGAACAATCAAGGTTGATCATGTTGCCTTCGTTCCCAAAGTTATTTGTTCACATTTCAACTTGGTTTTGAGAACCAGTTATTACATGGATACATAATTCTAATGATCATAATTATTATCATTATTATAATTACCATTGTAGGTATATTGTCCATTTACCATTGCTGGTATTTTTGGTATAAATTGTTGTTTGTAATGTAATGTAATAATGATCTGTTACATGTGGTAACGCCACCATTATATAACACTGTGAAATCCTTGCCTAAAACAGCAGTGAAGCTTAACATGTTTACATGCAATTTACACTGTACACTATCTTTCTGTTCTTATCTTTTTGCACTATATGACATTATTATATTCCTTGTACTGATCTGTGCCATTACCTGAAATAAATGAATGAATAATAATGATGACGATGATGCATCTGTTTTATGTACCGCTTTTTGGACACTCAAATAAGCTCCACATAGCACTATTCATTCACTCTATACATGGTGGTGATAAACTACTGTAGCCACAGCTGCCCTGGGGCGCACTGATAGAAGCGAGGAAACTAGAATGTGTCATCGGCTCCTCCAAACATTTTGTGTTTGGCCACTTTACAGTCACACCCACTTTGGCACCTGGTGTTCCCAGAGGTCTCCCATCACAGGACTTGCCAGACTCTACCCCGCTTAGCTTCAGAGGTACAGGATCTGGCTTTCACCTGCAGGTGGCACCGCTATCTAACGATCTCCAGGTAACATGCGTCGCTCCTCAGAGACCAGACATTTGTCCTTTGCCTGCGTTGCCAAAACACCAGTTATTTTTACGTCTGGGAAGTGTTGACTTTTCCTTTCTGGCTCTGACACAAGTGAAGATCATAAGTTTTCCTTGTGAGCGCTTCATTTCTGACAGGCCATCTCTCTGGAGGCTTATAAAACCCCTTCCCTCGCTCCTCGCCTTTAAATAGATTTAAAGGTGTTGCTCCGTTTAGCTGGAAATAAATGGCGGTGACCTGCAGTGTAATGTTCAGTGAGGTTTTGTGTGGCTCACATTGCTTCCATTTGACCATGTTTTGTCTGAAGAAGTCTGTCCTTTGAGGCTGCAAATCCTTTCATCGTCCTTGTTTGGCTGATAAAGTAAATACATGACATATTGAAATGTTGATATTTAGGGCTGGGCGTCATACAAAGCCTGCCGATACAATATGCCTGGCAAGATACTTTTCTAATCGAGAAACAGGACTTTCCATTCCTATACGACTCAATACAATCTATCACTAAATAATACATTACGATTCAGTAAAAAAGGTAATTTTTTAAACTTTGTAATTTTCTTGTATATCCTAATAGTATTCTGAATGCAATAGTTATTTTCCATTTCCCCTTTAATTTCTTGATTTTGAGTTTTCACTGAGATTTAATCAAACATACATAGGGTATGTTTGATTAAATTTCAGTGAAAACTCAAAATCAAGAAATAGTCTATTTCGTTCCATATGGGATTTTTAATGCCTATCCAAACATTTATGGACTTTAATCTGGGGCAGCTTTAAAGAATCTGGTAGTGCTAGTCCTTCTCCTGATTTAGGCGGTTTCAAATGTAAAATAAAAGCCCCATTATTTCTGCATCTATTTTTAATTTATTGAATATTGTCATAAAAGTCAAAATATTGCATTAGATACACTATTAGCAGTGTTAATTGTGCAGCCTGACAGGTGAAAATCTGCATCTCTACAGCTGGGAGGTATAATAAGCGGCACTATATACATTACCCTTAAACAATAAATACAACCGTATATTCAAGTTTGCTAATGTATGCTATCTTTGTCTGTGAATCTAGACTGATACTGCAATAATTGACTTCTTCTTGTCTTACACACTGACAGGCTTTGGAATACAGTGACATTATTTCTTGTTGATAAAAGTCAGGCGTCACACAGCATTGACTTGTTCCCAGAGCTGTTCGGGCCTGTGGAGGAAACGGCAGTGCTTAGTCAGTTCCCGTTCCACTGTGTAAGGCTGAAAAGTGCAGCATCAGGAGAGCGGAGTGCCCTGGTCCCGTCGTTTGTCAGGCCCCACAGATAAGCTTGTCCTCTGCCGACATAGAGGAGCACTGTCTGCAACCACAAGCACAACAAGTCTATTTGGAACCAATTGAAGGCAGGATTATAAAGAGATTCTTGAACCGTTTGTACGTTCGGCAAGGCAAGTTCGATTGTATAGCAAAGTTCATGCACAAGTCCGCTCAAAGTGCTTAACAAAACAAGATGAAAACAATCACACAATCAAGGAAAAACAGTTTTACAATTGGAGTGTGTGCCCCTGGACAAGTCTGGTGAACTAAAGTGTTCCTCTTACAGAAAGTTTGGAGGCCCCTCTTTTAGATAATTCCTGTCTTTATCTGTATCTATAAAAATAAAATGCTTAATAATTACTATATACATAATACATTACAATACATGTTCTGTTCATGTTGTGCAGATTATGAAGTAAAGATCTTGATTTTCCGGTGAAAGAGACAGAGAAGTAAATTCCGTTTTCTAAAATTAGCATGTGAATAGATTAGTACTCTACGATACCCATGTCCTCAAAAAGCTTTGGTATTGGAACCTCACTAATAGATGCGACTTACCAACTTAAACTACTAACTTCCAAATTACAAACCTGAGCTTAACCACCATACTAGCCTTAATAGATATTCATCTTATTTTTCTATAATTACTTACATAATGTCCACTATCTGTCTCTTACTTTCCCAGTGTCAAAGAGAAAGCGTATTATTAGATACAGAATGAATCTCTCCTTTTGTCTGCCTGCGCCAATAGCCACATTTAAATAACAGGACACATTTTGTTCTTCTCTATTGTCCTATCGCTTGTCGACAGCAGTGAATTATGAGAGCTGTCACTCCGGCACCAAAAAAAAAAAAAACATTTGTCCATAAAAGGTCCATTATTATGCAGCTAAGACAAATGGCTGTACAAACTTCCATTTTGTTGATTTCTCAGGCTCTCAAACAGTAAAGGCAAGAAAGTGCATATTCGCTTTTTTTTTTTTACTGCAGACATTACATTCCAAAGTTTGTGTAGCTGGGATTGATGTTTTAAAGTTTAATCCTAATATTGTGACAACAGTAAGAGTTGTTCCCTTCTGGAAAAGTAGTTCAACAATCTTTGCCTGAAATGTCAACAGTTCTATGTGATCGTACTTGTGTTGTCTCACATATTCACTGATGTTTATGGTCTTAACTTGAAACTTGAAGCTAATATTTGACAGACTCGCATACATTACTTGGAAATATCAATCTTCTTTTTGATACAGTGGTCCCTCGCTATAACCTGGTTCACCTTTTTGGTGTACAATTTTGCATTATTTTGTTACACCGTGCTTCCCAACATCATACAACAGGAGTGTCAAACAGGTCCTCGAAGGGCCGGTGTGGCTGCAGGTTTTAACCCTTGTGCTACCCTAGATCAAGATTATCCACCAAAGATGATTAGGTAGAAGAACATTCCCTAAATTAGGGTCTAAAAGGATCTAAATGACCCAGGGCTGGTCAAGTAAGGAAATACCATCAAAATTCAGTGGTATTTTTGAAACACTCTGGGGGTTCAATTTGACCCTAGAATAGCACACTGGTTAATTCCAACCAAGCAGCAGTATACCAGACTCCACCCAATTCCCAAAGTGTGTCCAGTCTCTGAACCTGAAGACTTGAGGATATGGGTGGAGTCTGGTCTGCTCCTGCTTGGTTGGAATGAAAACCTGCAGCCACGACCCTTTCTAGAACCTACTTAACACCTCTGATCTATCGTAAAGCAAAGGTGAATTACAGAAATAAATTAACTTTTGAACTTGTATGATGCACTAATTTTCAGAGTTTCACCTGTATTTCAAAGCATTTATAATAATCAACACATGCGACAAGTTCCCGAACTCTGCGAAAAGCAGAGATTAAAATCTAGCTAACCTGGACCTTTAACTATTTTCTCATGGTTTTCTGTTATTTCTTTGTAGTTACCCTCTGAAATGTTCAAATCCAAGTTAAAGACTGTTCTGTTTGCCTGGATTTTAATTCTCTATTTTTAATGCACAATTATTATTAATTATTATAATCTTGTGTGTGATTTTGATGTTTTTTTGTGCCTTGCGTGATGTGGATTTCACATCCTGTGTCGGAAATGTACTCTACAAATAAAGATAGATTGATTGATCAAAACATGTCTAAGATGTGTGTAAGAATACAAGGATGTACTTCTACCAATAGCAGTGGGTTTTATTTTTGATGCTTTTTCATTACTGCCCAACTCGTTTTTGCTTCAAAGATTCTGCAAAAGGTTGGACTAATGAGACCTTTGCAAACTGCATAGGAATACAATCAGATTTTCTCATGACCACGTTCTTCTCAAGACCACCATCTGTGATTCTGTCTACTAAATGTTACATGCCTGTGTGTTTCTCTTCATCTGTTGCTTATTATTTTTACCGTGCGTTGCAGAATGCGGAGGTGTCGGTGTTTGAAGTGAACATCCGTTTTGTTGGAGGCCTGCTTTCTGCCTACTACCTGTCTGGGAAAGAGGTAAGGGCTTTTATCATCATAGCTGCTAATTTTAAAGTCAGGAAGTGAGTGCCAACAACTTCCTGACTTTCTGACTGTAAGGCACAGTGAAGATTGAGGGAAAACTTTTGGATTTCATTCAACTTTCACTACTCAATTTTTGTGTGTGCAATTGTGCTTTTTTTCATAGCGGGCTTCTCATGCATCACGTTTATACTCAAAACAGCATCATATACAACAATTGCTATTTATTTATTTATTTAAACCCAGATGAAAACTTTTGTGACTTTTGTGCACTGCAGTGATTAGTTTAGAGGACTACTGCGGTCTTCCCATAGACCTCAGACCTGCTCCTGCCCCTCAGAGCGGTGTATATGCTCGGCTTTTGACAGCTGCAGCAGCACTCAGACCTACAGCAATCAGGTTTTATATCTCTGAGTTGAGTTTAGGTGGTTAGAAAAGTGTATAAAGTGTGTGTGAGAGGTTTTACAGCCTTAAAACATACAGCTGCTATTTCACTTAGAACAAAACCCCCGCGATAAACGAGGGACCAGTGTACACCAGAAAATACAGTATGTTAAAACGTTCAAAATGTACTTGTTATGTCTTAGAACTATAACTGGTTTAAGGGAAAGTATTTGATTGTTTGTTGGCCCAGCACACCAACACCTTTTCTCACAATTAATGTATGAGAACATTCTTTTACTGGATTTTTCCTTTTTTTTTACTACGCCTTCGCACCATTTCAGACACAATTCCACAAATAAATTAAATATACATGCACATGCACACAATATGCGAAAAATCCATCAGACCACAATCACGTAGTAAATGCATGTGTTGATAAACCGGTAGACTGAAGATGCTGACTCAACTGTCCTGGTCAAGGTTCCACTTTTTGCTCCCGTCTAAATATTTTGTCTGGAACTTTCTATATAATGTCAGTAAAGTTTCCCTATTGAAGACAAGCACGTTACTTCACAAGGTTAAGTTAATTACTTTGTTCAGTCTCTAGATCCACACTATAAAAGACAGAAGATGGGCAGACACAAAAGATAAGACTCATTCCACAGTGGGGAAATTCCAGGGTTGCATAACCGGTTATAGAACAGTAGGAATAAGGAGCACACAGCACAAGATAAATGAAAACAGCTCTATACTCTATACTAAATTAAACTAAAAGACTGCTATACAAGAATCGTATCGGAGAACAAGCAGTTTTGAGTTTTTGAGCAGTGAAAAACATCAAAACAACTGTTATACCCGACAAAACACAACGACAAGCATCAGTAAAGCAATGTACCTCATATTAGCTCGTACAAAATAGTACATACATTTTTCCTTTTCCTATTTCTGTGATTTACTAAAATGTTTATCAAAAGCCACCCATAACTTTTTGTGGCTATCTAACTAACAAACCAACAAACCTAGATGAAAAGTGACATACCCTGCTGGCAAAGTTAATAATTATGCCATGTCTTTCCTCAGTAAAAAGACATGTTTTCACTATTTGCTCTCAGTCTGTTTTGGGAGATTTCCGTCCACCAAACCTCCTCCAAACACTGATAATGCAGAAAGATTGCCTCTGAGCAGGAGATAGTGTTTTGTTTTCTTCACACGTTTAATCTCACATCTTTTGACAACAGCAGTGAACTCGAGGTGGCCTTAGAACAGTCATTTTTCACTTTTGTACTTCGCCGAGTTTCAGGTTAGGGGGGGTTTTGGAGGAGGGTTAGGTGGATTTGCTCAGCCTTAGGGGGCACAGTTTGTCACGGGCCTCGCAAGTGCTGACAAATCATCGCCTCAGATGAGATTTATACAGAAAAATGTGAGGAAAAGTCATCGCCGTGGCTCCGTCTACAGTCGGCTGTGTTCAATGTGCTTAGCGACAAGAGACTGTGAAAATGACATCAGCGGGATATTAGCTCGGATCTGCTCCTGCCAATAGAGGCTTTCACATAACCCCCCACCCCCCTATGTCTTTTTTTTCCTATTCTACATTTACAGGGCTTGCCAAAAAACACCTGCATAAAAAGCCACAGAAATTGCAATTTGATAGACACTGAGCGGTGGTGACGCCGCTGAAACATTGTCTGGCAGAAGAAATATGCCCCGACGTGACAGCAGCGGGGGGCTAACAAGTGCGGCAAGGCTAAGTGGTTTAGCGGTTGAATAGATGCACACAGACAGCGGTTCCAAGCACAATACCTCTGACAATGATCGGAGAGGTAAATGAGATTAGCAGACAGTGTGCAGGCTTTCGTATGGAGGATAGTTTGCAGGGGACATTATTTCCTTTTTTATGACTGTAATAGTAGTTAATAATGATCCAGTAATACAGTCTTATCCATGCATATATTGTATCCAATACCATATTATGGCAAGGCAAGTGTGTTTGTATAGCCTAACTCCTACACAAGGCCACTCAAAGTGCTGAACAGAACGATGTTGAAACAATCACTCAAGGCATTACAATAAAAAAAATACATTTAAGAGTCAAAATAAGAACCCTCAATTGTATGCACAGCTATACAACTATATAACAGATCTTCAGGAAGACTGTTCCAGGTTTTAACTACAGATAAGTACTAATGTGTAGCAAGAAGGTCCTGCGTTAAATTTGTGTGCCATATATGAATTGCCATATTTTCGTTTCCCCTAATACTTTTTATTTGCATGTTGTACAAATCTAAATAGAATGGACTTTCTTCAGATTGAAAGTTGGCATACACTGACATTTCAGTAGCACCAGATGTAAATTAATTGATTTAGTTCATTTCATTGTTAAGATTTGGGTAAAATCACTAGAAAGACCTTCTTTAGAGATGATTTTAGTGAGCACTGGTTTTATGTTTTTATTTTGTTTCCCCTCTCTGCGTCTGCTTCTATCGCCTTTCTGCTCTCATTTTCACCTGGATCTAACGTTCAATGACGAGGCAGGACTTTTGGGAGTGCGCCTTTTTAAGGTCACGTGTGATTAGGAAAAATAAATGGACATATCGCGCATTCGCCATGACGGTATTTTTTCAATTTATCGTTCGGCTCTATACTCAGGGCCCGTCCTAATTCTGAGGGCACTTGACTTATGAGTGCCTTGACTACAGAGAAGTGCCCTCCAATAGAGTGCACTCGTTGATATTCTCCCTAACAAATGGGACACACATGGATCTTGGAGGGTTGCAACTCAACGCAGCAGACGCGTTCCACTTCACGCATCGTGTCTGATTTCACCACACGTAAGATAGACTTTATGAAAAAAAAGCTTTTCTTTCAAGCATGGATAATAACATGCACCATGTCTCTAAAGCTTCTCAGTGAACGTCACATGCTGTGGCCACTTCGCGAGCGAACGTCACGACATACAGCACCAACACACGCTTTTAAAAAAACCTAAATTACTCTTACTTGCTTTGAAGCTTCCATGTGTTCACCACATACTTGCGCCCATGTATGTTATAACTTGTTTGTTGGTGCAAACAAGTTATAAGAGTAAAAACTAGATAAAAAATATTTTTATAAACTTGGTTTTTTTTGACATGCTTCTTGTTGTTACTCGCGATAATTGAGATGCTCAGAATGCATTGTGCAGAGAAACTTTGAACCGGCGCAAACATTATCAATCGAATTATTCAGTCGGAGCTAAAAAACAAGCGGGAAAAGCGTCTAATATGGCCGACATGTACTAGACAAGAGCAGGGTTCATTATCAGCTTCCCTCCGGCTCTTTAGTGACATATCTCTTTCTGATGATCTTTGAAGCAATAATCCTCTATGTGTGAGGACAGGGTGTGGTTTTGTCATAATTTTCTCAAAAGTCTCTTCAACCCTTTGCTTCTCTTTTTTAATGAGAGTCAATCAGTGGTAGGCTTTCATCCCTGCCTCAGAGGCGTCACAGTGAGTCAGGCACTGGATGGATGGGCCTCCAAGGGAATGAATGGCAAATGTGTGGTGGCCTGGAGTGACTGAGAGGAGAGAGTTGTCTGCTGCTGTTTTTTTTTTTTTTTTTTTTTTTTTTAAGTTTATTTGCAGAAAAAAAAGAAGACATACAAAACGACAGTGATACAAAAACATACATAGACATTTAGGTATACATAAAGGTGAACATACAGGTAGACGTACAGGTAGACGTACGGGTAGATATACAGGTAGGGAAACAGGTATTGGCGGTAAAAAGGGTTGAGGGGGGAAGGAAAAAGTTAGTTAGTCAACATCGGCGGTAACATAGGATTCTTTAGTTGGAGAGAAGGAAGCGTAAATAGAAGAGTGACAATATTTGCACATCTATACACCCACAAACACACTATGTATATATATGTGCCTACATATGTGCACATATACACACATACACACAATACACACACATACATCCATATATACACATATACATACTGTATACGTACACACATATACCCATACCCCTACATACACACCCACATAACGCGTATATATCACACATATACTCACATACACATACATATTTAACTACATATGCATACATATATAACTATACGCCCGTGCATATACACATCTATACACCTCTGTTCACATATACAAGAGAGACATAAAATAACAAGGTTGGGGTGGTGATAACAATAATAACAATCAGTAAGGAGAAAAGGGCAGGGGGACTGTAACAAGAAGGGTGTGTGGATCATTATTTATAGATCTTTATATTACATTTATTTATTTATTTATTTTTTAATGAATTAATATTTACTCGTGGGTGTAGTTGAGTACTAAGCCAGGCGTGTCCCCCCCCCCGACCTCCAGAGTGCATCTCTTCCAGCACACCCCAGGACACCAATTCCGTGTGCGCTCGCTGCCTATTTTTGTTGATTTGTGAAAAGGTTTCCTTTTATCTTTTCCCCTGGTTTAATGAAGTGAATTAAAATAAGCTTAGAGCTTACCCTATTCTCAGTGTATGCTGTGTTGGGCCCTGACTAGTGTGTTGCGTTAAAAACAGAGCAATCATGGCCAGTGTGATGGGTACTGGAGGGACGAGACTGAGATGAGAGGGAGTAG